TCATCTGCACAAAACATCAAGAAGCTCCATGCGGCCATTCAAAGTTTTGGCATTTGAAGAATAACTCCAGTGAAACGTTTTCATAACCCTTGCAGTGGGGCTACACCCACATTGTAAGGGTTAAGTGCTTATTTTTGTCTAGGTGCTAAAATAACAAAGTTATATTCACAGACGCTCAGAGTCGGCCTGCTGTCGCATCACTCCCTCCAGCCTCTCTACTCCTACACTGCAGCATTGGAATCTTCCTCAGCATCCTCAACTCTATACATAGTGTATAGATGTGATTTATGAGTTTAGAGGAGTGGAAGAGAGGCTGGAATGACCGGTCTAAGAACAGGCTGACTGGGAGCATTGGGTGAGTATAACTTTTTTTTAACATAGACAAAAAAGAGCAGTTAACTCTTGCAGTGTGGGGGTAGCCCCACTCCAAGGGTTAATACATTTTTCTCTTTAAAGATTTAACAGCTTATTGAAAAAAAAACATCAGTATGGCTATACCACTGCTAAACAAAGTTGATACCCTGTTTCCCTGAAAATAAGACCTACCCTGAAAAAAAGACCTAGTACTATTTTTGTGAATTGATAAAATATAAGACCTACTCCAAAAATAAGACCTAGTTGTGACCATTCCCAGGGCTGGTGGTGGCATAAGGGGGAACTTGAAGAGCCGCGGGAATCAGCTGTGCCAACGAAGCCAGCGCTAGAGGAAGCGAGGCGGCAGTGAAGGGAGCAGAGCCGCATAAGCCGAAGCTTCCTCTATAGCGCCGACTTCTGTCACAGGCAGAGTGATACCAAATGCACTCCACTTGTGAGGAATCCATAGTGAAAGCGCACTTTGCTCATTCTGGCCAGCGATTGGTTACCAAATTGCTCTTGGAAAAGTACGGCACCCATGATTGCCCTGATCACCCTATTCCTAAATTTGCCACTCACTCCTCTCTTCTAAGTCTTCTACCGGTATTATGGTATGGTAAGACCTACCCGGAAAATAAGACCTAGTGTGTTTTTTTAAACCAAAAAACATATAAGACAGTGTCTTATTTTCGGTGAAACACGGTAGCAATATCTGCTCTCTGTTATAAATTGGCCCCTTATTCTGCTAATCTATAAATCCATAATGCATTGACTGGAAAATCTTTCTAAAGCAAAAAAAATGTTTTATAGAATGAGAAGAGTTAAAATGTCTGTAAGATTATTATTATTGTCTGTGACTCCATTTGGAAGATTCTCCCTCACTTCCTGCCACTGTGTCTCCAGGACAACAAAGAGGGGTGGTTGTTGGGGCTTACTGTCATTGGGACAAGAAGGCACGGACAGAATTGTCAGAAATGTTAACTCTTTCCCACTCTATTATATTGTATTTCTGTTTTGTGTGTATGTGATAAAAGAGATTTGCCATCACATTCTGTCCTGACAGGAAGTAAGGGGAAATCATACTAATAGGGACACAGGCAGCTATTAAAACCTGACAGCCTATCCAAAATGTGTTGGCTGGAGTTGGGCTTTAACATGCATTTAATGTCCCTCTGGATGCAAGGCTCAGGTATGAATGGCAGCATCTTAAGTGGAGAAAGACCACCTGAAGACTAATAGATGTTGCCGGACCTCATACACCGCACACTAAGAAGGTGGGATACAGTGTAAGGCTATGTTCACACAAACAGCGGTAAAAACAGCCAGTTGATCAGCATTTTAACTGCCCCCTGACCGCCCACTTAGAATGTGACATGGCGGCCACTCAGATCTGTACGCATGGCCGTTTATATGCTGTATGAATATAGCAAATTAAATTACGATTTCACTTCTAATTGTGGTAAATTGGAGTGCATGGCGCATGCTTTACACTGAGCCAGGCTTGCAGAGCACCCGATGAAAGAAGGCAATATACGCCATCAGCATTTTATCCTGTCTCCAGATTTGTTTGCGTTATATTAATTTCTACTTATTTTGGATGCAGCCACCCCACCATAACCTCAGCGAGAATTCCTTCACACACTCTGTACCTGAGGCTGAGTATTACAACACATTGCAGTTTCTTTATATTTGCTTTTTATATGTAACCAGTACACAATGTTCTAAAGCTTCACTAAATAAAATAATAAACCGATTTCAAGCTGTGTTTTTTTCCCCAACACCAATTATAAATACAATGTAGCTACTGTGTTAGTTACTGGCACTATATTGTCAATGTAGCTTCTAGTCTGCATACTTTGTATTTGTATCCATAATGCAAGAAAATAAAGCCAAATGTACAGTTTACAGTAGCATAAAAAGCTGCAAAGACACTCATCCGAGCATCCTTTGACTGTTACAGTACAGATGGCCATTCAATGAATCAACCAAGTAGAAATCCCATTGCAAAGCAGGCATTGGAGAAATACATTGAGTATTTCTGTCCATATCCTGCATAGCATCTCACACTGTACATGAGCCTGCTGCTAGATCCACAGTGTGAACAAATCACAATGACATCAACTGCTATGGGGGGGTTGCAGGATGCACTGCCAGATCCTTAACCCTTTACCCTCTATATGATCAGCAGAAATTCACTTTGGCACGCAGGACCCCAGGGCAGTATAGCTGTATATAGTTTAACCCTTGATTGCTTCTGGAGGGAATGTGATCCATTACCTCTTATCTGTTCCAGGGATCACAGTGATTGTGCAGTATAGAAGGCTGATCAACCTATAACTGCAGAGTGATGTTAATGGAGAAGATGTGATCCAGGATGTGAAGGATGGTCCATGGATCAAAGTGAAGGATGGGGACCCCTCTGCTCTGGTCCATGAATCACAATTTAGGAGGGGGAGCCCTATCCTCTCCTCTGGTCCAGGGATCACAGTGAAGGAGGGGAGGCCCATCCTCTCTTTTGGTCCAGATATGACAGTGAAGGGGGGGGAGCCCCATTTTCTCCTCTGGTCCAGGGAACACAGTAAAGGAGTGGAGCCCCATCTTCTCCTCTAGTTCAGAGATCAAGGTAAAGGAGTGGAGTCCCATCTTCTCCTCTGGTTCAGAGATCACAGTGGAAGAGGGGAGCTCTACCCTCTTCTCTGGTCTAGGGATCACAGTGAAGGAGGGGAGCTCTGCCCTCTTATCTGATCCAGGGATTACAGTGAAGGAGGGGAGCCCTGCCCTCTTCTCTGGTCTAGGGATCACAGTGAAATAGGGAAGCTCTGTCCTCTTCTCTGGCCCAGGCATCACAGTAAAGGAGGGGAGCCCTGCCCTCTTCTCTGGTCCAGGGATCACAGTGAAGGAGGGGAGCTCTGCCCTCTTCTCTGGTCCAGGGATTACAGTGAAGGAGGGGAGCTCTGTTCTCTCCTCTGGTCCATGGATCACAGTGAAGGAGGGGAGCTCTGTCCTCTCCTCTGGTCCAGGGATCACGGTAAAGGAGGGGGGCCCCATTCTCTCCTCTGGTCCCTGGATTGCAGTGAAGGAGGGGGGCCTTTTTCTCTCCCCTGGTCCAAGGAAGGCAGTGTAGGAGGAGAGGCCCATCCTCTCTTCTGGTCTAGGAATGATAGTGGAGGTGAGCCCAGTCCTCTCCTCCGGCCCAGGGATTGCAGAGGAGGGGGAACCCTGTCCTGTCTTCTAGTCCAGGGATCACAGTGTAGGAGGGGGCCCCATCTTCTAATCTGGTCCAGGGATCACAGTGTAGGAGTGGAGCACTGTCCTCTCCTCTGGTCCAGGGATGATAGTGAAGGAGGAGAGCCTCATCCTCTCCTCTGGTCCAGGGATCACAGTGAAGGAGGGAAAGCCCCATCCTCTCCTCTGATCCAGGAATGCAGTGTAGGAGGGGAGCCCGGTCGTCTCCTCTGGTCCAGGGATCACAGTGAAGGAGGGGAGTCTCGCCATCTTCTCTCATCCAGGGATGATAATGAAAGATGGGAGCCCCAGCCTCTTCTCTGTTCCAGGGATCACAGTGAAGGAGGGGGAGCCCCATTCTCTCCTCTGGTCCAGGGATGATAATGAAGAATCCTCTCCTCTGATTCAGAGGAGCCCCATTCTCTCCTTTGACCTAGGAAAGCAGTGTAAGAGGGGACCCCCATCTTCTCCTGTGGTCCAGGGATGCTAAGAATAGAGAGCCTCATTCATTCCTCTGCTACAGGAATCACAGTGTAGGAGGAAAGCCCCGTCCTCTCTTCTGGTCCAGGGATGATAATGAAGGCGGGGGAGTGCCATCCTCCTTTATGGCCCAGGGATCACAGTGAAGAGGGGGATCCCTGTCCTCTCCTCTGGTCCAGGGATGATAATGAAGGAGGGGATCCCTGTACTCTACTCCAGGGATCATAGTGTAGCAGGGGATACCCATCCTCTCCTCTGGTCCAGGGATGATAATAAAGGAGGGGAGCCCCGTCCTCTTCCATGGTCCTGTGATGATGAAGGAGGGGAGCCCCATCTAATCTCCTGTGGTCCAGTGATGATGAAGGAGGGGAGCCCCGTCTCCTCTCCTTTGGTCCAGTGATGATGATGAAGGAGGTGGAGCCCCGTCCTCTCCGGTTGTCCAGGGATGATGATGAATGAGGGAAGCCTCGTCCTCTTCTCTGGTCCAGGGATGATGATGAAGGAGGGGAGCCCCGTCCTCTCCTGTGGTCCAGTGATGATGATGAAGGGGGGGAGCCCCGTCCCCTGGTCTCGGATCGGTGGGCAGACTGTAGACACATGATCAGCCTATAAAATGATAGCGCAGGAGAAACAGATCGGCTGGCCCCTCCCCCTCCACGTGTTCCTCTAATGGACATCTGCCAGGCTCGTACTCTCCGGGCTCCGGGGAAAGCTTCTATCTTTATCGCCTCAGGAGGTGATCGATGTGTGCGGGGCGATGACCAGACGAGATCGTACATGGGGAGATATGAGCATCGTTGGCTCTGATCGGCCGGCTCTCCTCCATACCTCTGCCTTGCCATAAACACCATAATGCTAGAAGCGGCCCCGCCGGCACACAGCGCAATCCGATTCTCACCGTCCGGCCGTATTAGCCGCCTTCACTGGGTTTTGGAGTCCCGGGTCCGCTCCTCCTCCTCCTCACGCCCCCTAGCTGCGGCTCTTCCTGGGCTGGGCTGAAGCCTCCAAGGTCCCTCCACTCCTGTTGCTTCCCGTCCAGGTGCCGCAGGGCCAGCAGGAAAGGCTCAGCGATGGAGCCGGCGGGCTCGGACACCCCGGGTTACTCTCTCCAGGCTCGGCTCTTCAAGAATCTCCAGCTGGGCCGGTCCAGGAAAATTGGGAAGCCTGGAGCGGAGCGCCGCAGTGCGGGGACACCCTGCCCTTCACCCCCTCCGCACCGGAGGAAAGATCCGGAGGGGACCATGGAGGAGGTGGTGCCGGGCATCATCCGCTGGAGCGGGATAAGGAGGAGGAAGCAGGTCCTAGACCGGGTGTTCTCCTCTTCCCAGCCGAACCTGTGCTGCTCCGGTGCGGACCCGTTACCCTCCAGCACCCCCTGTAGTAGCCCCGGTAGCATCGCCGGTACCCCGGAGCCCGGCTCTACTCTGCGCCGACTGAGGGATCACCTCCTACCCTACAACAGGGCCGGACACATCAAGGAGAAGGATGGAGAAGTCCAGCCCGGGAACACCAGCACGGCCCCGGCCAGGGCACACCAGCTGTCCCATCAGAAGAGCTCGTCCCTGCCCGGAACTGAGTTCATCGAGAAGATGCTGCAATCCTCCAGCACCAAGGACAGCGGCACCGCCAAGCCGAGGGGGAGCTGCCAAATTAGAGATGGGAAGTTCGGATCTTTTAAATGAATCGGTTCATTTGAATCAGTTCATTCAAAAGAACCGATTCATGAATCGAATCTTCGATTCACTTGCTGAGTCGGCTGACAAGCAAGTGCACCGAAGCTTAAGGTGCCCACACACCTTACAATTTATCTGCAGATTTTCTGTGGTCAGATGGAAAAAGTGCAATTCTTTGAGTTAAAGAATCCTTAGTCATCAGAGGAGTTACTGAGTTAAAAGAATTATGAGTCCCCACCAGTAGAACAATACACTGACTCATGCACTGTCGGCCAATACACTATCGGCCATTAGGAAACAGTGGGCAGAGCTAGCTGTCACTACTAGCTCCGCCCAATTGTTTTTCTTTTGTTTATTATTTATTTTCTTTAAAATATTTTAATTTTTTAAAATTTTCCTATTTTTTATAATTTTTAAAATTATTTGGCAACTTTTTTTTCACATTCTTTTCTTTTCTGCTTGGATAGGAGCGAACAGCAGCCAGATGTTGGATCGGCTGAGTCGAAGTCCTTCTGCACTTCGGCTCAGCCGACCGAAGGCAGCCGATGTACGGCTGATTTTAGCCGATGTAAGGCTGGACACACACCTTACAACCATCGCAAGACTTTTGTCTTGCAATGGTTGTAAGGTACTTAAAAAAACGTACGATCTGCCTATCTTGCATAGGCAGATCGTACTTGCGATGATCGCAAGCCACGCCCCCTGGGGGGCGGGCTTCCGATGACCGCAATGCCGAACGGGCAGTGTGCGCTTGAGCACACCGGCCCGTACGACTTTTATCGTACGGACATGCCACACACCCGCTGTCAATCGTACGATGCTCGGCGGGTTTTCGAACATGTCCATAAGTTTAAAGTCGTGCGACCTTACAGTAGTAGAGGTCGCACGGCTTCCACACACCTTACGATAATCGTACAATCGCGGGATTTCCCGCGATTATCGTACGATTATAGTAAGGTGTGTGGGGACCTTTAGGACCTTTTGGGGCAGAGGTGCACATTTTGGCTCTAATAGACTTTAATGGGAGCGATTGAAAAACTGCTTTGTTTGTTTTTTTGGCGCAATTTCTTGGCAAGTAACTAGCTTTACAAGTGTGAATGGGGCCTTAGGCTCGCCGTACATGTTACAATGTGATTGTACAATCTCTGTGCATTCAACTTTAGATCTACCAAAACTATGTAATGTGAGGACACTCCTGATCTATTTAGTCAATTTCTATCCAATTAGGCAGTTCCTTGCACTACATACGTGTTAATTGGTATCCAATCAGACGGACCTTTACACTACATACTTGTTGGTAGATCTAAGAGTGCCCACACACCTTACGATAATCGTACGATAATCGTGGGAAATCGTACGATCGTACGATTATCGTAATGTCTGTGGAAGCCGTGCGACCTCTACTACTGTAAGGTCGCACGACTGTTAACTTACGAACATGTTCGAAAACCCGCCGAGCATCGTACGATGTTCGGCGGGTGTATAGCATGTTCGTAAGATAAAAGCCGGACGGGCCGGTGTGCGCAAGCGCACACTGCCCGTTCGGCATTGCGGTCATCAGAAGCCCGCCCCTCGGGGGCGCGGCTTGCGATCATCGCAAGTACGATCTACCTGTCTAAGATGGGCAGATCGTACGTTTTTTTGATTACCTTACAACCATCGCAAGACAAAAGTCTTGCGATGGTTGTAAGGTGTGTGCCCAGCATAAAGGAGATTGTACAGTCAGATTGTAACATGTGCGGTGAGCTTAAAGCAGAACTTCGGGCAAATCAAATCTTAACCCTTGTGGTGAGGCTACGCCCATACTGCCCGGAGGTCTGCTTTAAAAGAACCCATGATCTTCGCTTACTATGAGAAATGTGCACTATGGCAGCTTAGAGACATTGTAGAGTATATGGAAATGCAGAACTTTCCTTTTTTCAGTAGAGAAGGATTAAACCCCTGTCAGGTTTTTTTGTGCCACCTGTGTTCCATTGGGCAGATACAAATGCCTTTTTATACAGTTGTCACCAGAACCCCACTGGAAGATTCCCCTTTTATTTCTGTTCTGGTGACAACTCATAATCGTGGATTTTGCATCACTTTTAATCCTGGGGACACTGAACGCCAGAACGAACAAAGAGGGTGAATCTCAGTAACGGGGAAACAGACAGCAATCAAAACCTGACAGGGTTCTAAACTCTCCCCACTCTATCCAAAAATACAAGAGAATGTTTGGGCTTTAGATACACTTTAAATTAAGTGTGTATGAAGAGAATCTGAGGGCTGCCTATGCTGACCTCTCGTCATTCTGATCCGATGGTTTCTTTTCTTGATGAGACACAGACCTGGGACAGGTTTACAGATCAGGAGTTCTGACCTCACTCCGACTTTCTACTCTGAATGGTTGTATGTTCAGGGAGTCAGAAAGTGTTAAAGCCGAAGCCAGCTAGTATTCCTAATAGGAGGTCAGCAATGGCAGCCCCCATATTGTTCTCTATACAAGCTCACTTTAAAAGGAATGTCTAGTCCAGGGGTGGGCAACTCCAGCCTTTCAGCTGTTGTAGAAGTACGTACTATGAGACATTGCAAGACTGACAGGTATAGGCATGACTTCCAGAGGCAGAGGTATGTTGGGATTTGTAGTTAAAGCACAGCTGGAGTTGCCCACCCCTGGTATAGTCTTTTAAGTGTTTTCAGATCGGTATGGAAAAGGGATCAAACTGATGTACATGATCTTATTGATAAGTAATAACATTTTTAAAGCCTGAATATGGGGAAACCACATGCATTGGAGCTGCCCCCACACTGCAAGGGTTAAATGCTCATTTAGGTCTGGAGTAGACTACAATTCCCTCCTTGCCTGTGGCTGCCAGGGTCTTGCAAAGCCTCATGGGATGTGTAGTTTCACCACAGTTGGAGGGCAAAAGCAGTCTTACTTACCTGATCCCCTCCCCAGCTGTTGTTAGCATTCACCTTGTCTCCCCTATGCTGTGGCTTGTGAACTGTCCCTCGGCTTCCTCTCTTATAATGTAGTGCTAGGGGCCCTGCATTGTACTTGATGATATCAGCGTGCCTCTGACTACAGGGACACAAGGGAAAAGAGGCTGTGGTTGCCGGTCTTGGAGCCTGGAGGGAGCCTGTAGGAGGGGATCAGGTAAGTAAATGTCCTTTTATCAGGGATCTGAGGCTTATTGAAGCATTTAACACTTGCAGTGCAGGAGCAGCAGAACAGCATGGGTTTTGTGGTTTTTCACATCTTTAAATCTTGTCTCTCTGTATAATTTGTTACTAAATATGTATATGGTGGCAGCCATACATGCTCATTATATATCCAAGTTCTGCTTCCTACTTTGCAGTATTATGTAGTGATTGTGCGTTGCTGTTCCCTCTGACATGAACAACCTTACTGAAAACAATGTTCTCCCTGTGTTAGCAACATCATATCTCAGCAGTTGTAAACTGAGAGGCAGAGCAATAATTGTTTTGAGACACCAAGAGGTCCCTCTAGTTGGTGATCTACAAATCTCTATATTTAAAGTAGACACTGAAATAAAAACGTGAAGAATTGCTGTTTTAGGGAATATTTAGACATGTCAATTCAGTACCCTGAAAAATGCAGCAGTGTACTTCCTATTACGTGAGTGTGATTAGGGATTCCTTGTGCATACAACCTCATAGCTGTATATCTGCAGTGTTAGATCTCAGGCACTGCTGACATTGACTGCTGGTCTCAGGAGATCTGGAGTGAGATTTGGTGATGCCGCTATTGTGCTGTTCACTGTTCTCCTTGTTGGAGGCTCTGACATGAGGAAGCCTAGCCCTGACAAGGCAAGGCCAGTCAGTAATGGGGAAATGATCAGCTGCAGGGAGACCACAGGCAATACTGGTGACTAGTCCTTTGCTCTCTGCTTGTCTATTTTGGGAACGGCTTGCAGAGTTCAGTTTCTGTGTAATGGAATGACACAAATATGGCAGAATGAGCTTAAAAAAATTGAAAAAGTCATATAAAACTACTGCAATAATGCTTCAGAAAGAAGGGGAATGTATTAAAGGAGAACTATGGGGTTAGGGCTTTTCCCCATAGTTCTCCTTATGGTAATGGGAGGACACAAACTAGCGTCCTCCCGTCACCCTAGGCTCAGTATACCGCGAGCTGTAGCTCACGGTATACTGAGACGCCGCAGTATACCGCGAGCTGCTGCTCGCGGTATACTGAGACGCCGCAGCCCCTTCCCTTATCACGTAAAGAGAGAGATTTTTTAATGCAACTAATCGGTTAATCGAAAAAAATTATCGGGTAACTAATCGAATATGAAAATAATCGTTAGCTGCAGCCCTAATTAAGACTAGAGCAGACAGAATCTGTCGCATCTGTGCATGGCAACCAATCAGCTTCTAACTTTCATTTTCAAAGCTTAAACTGAACCAACTGAAGAGAGAAGCTGATTGATTACTATGGCAGCTGCTCTGGATTTTGTCTGCTCCAGTTTTAGTAAGTTCCCCTCACTGTACTTTACCTATAAAGCAGTTCTTGACATCTCCAGCCAATTCAATGTCACAAGACAGCAGATCAATCAACTTGTAAATGGTTTTCATTACTTATTGGATTTCATTGTGCTTGTTAAAGTTCTTGAAGTAAACACTGTGCTCAAAGGGATGTGCAAAGAGTTTGCTTGTTACCCTGCACTGAATGCTTTATCTATTTTAGAAGTATTTATTTTATTTATTTGTATAAGATCATCGTCTTCTATAGAAAACACTGATATGTCCACATTAGCTCCTGTCCTCAAAGGAGCGTACAGGGAGTGCATACAAATGTACATTTTGTACAGGTAGTTTGGAGGGAAGCCAGTTAACCTACTAACATGGCAGGAACGGAAAGACCGTTATTGTCAGACTAACCTGCTAACTTTTTACGAAGAGGTAAGTAGAGATCTGGATGGAGGGAGGCCGGTGGATGTGGTATACTTGGACTTTGCTAAAGCATTTGACACAGTAACACATACAC